AGTCTTCTATAGTTTAGTTTTTCTTTTCTGTACGAGATTTTCACTTTTTCTTCTTGATTTGTATTTTATTTTTATATTTTACTTTTATCATAATAAAGTTTATGTGGAACTATCGCACTTTAAAAAAAAAAAAAAAAAATATTTAATATAAATAATAATATAATAAACAATTATTAATTTATTTAACCAATTCTGTTATTTCTAATTTAATGATAATAAATTGTTTAAGAAGAATGATTGGTTGACCTAAAATTTATTAGGTTAGATTAGATCAGATCAATCTGTTAATCTGATTTGATATTAATCTGAAAATTTGCTAATCTGATCTGGATTTTTAGGTTAGGTCAGATCAAGTAAATATATTAACCTGGTCTGATTCAAAGCTTTAAGGAAAATTTATTATTTGAAAAAATTTAAATAGATTTTTATTAAATGTATCATTAGGTAAAAATTGTAATATTGGTGAATATCAAAGAGCATGAAATAAAAATTATGATGCAAAATAAATTATAGATATTTAATCTTTTATATTAGCTATTATTTTTGAAATTTAAAAAAAAATTTCTAATAGACCTTTATTTAATTCTATAAAAATACTTGATCATACAAATTGATCAGATAAAAAAGAAGAACTTATAAAATATGGTAAACAAGTATTGAATATTTTATTAGAATTTTATAAAAAAGAAGTAATATTGGTAAAAAGTGGTTTGTAATAGTATATTTAAACTTTAGAAATATAAAATTGAAGTATTAATTCCAAGATTATTGAATTTTATTATAATACTTTTTATTATTAAATTACTAAGAATTATATATTTTATTCCATTTTCATCAGTTGAAAATAATGAAACATTACATTTTTGGATGATGGTTGGATTGAAAGAAAAAATAGATCAGTACAAATTTGGAATAATGCATGTAAATGAATTTGATTTTTCTCTAATAAAAAAAAAATTTTACTTAAAATCTTATTTTTTTAAATTATTAGTAATAAAAATTTATATAGCCGGTAAATTTTATAAGATTACGGATTTTTGGCCGGTAAAATATTTCATCCGAGCCTTAGAGTAAAGTAACTCAATTATAGTTACACAAGTTTTTAATATGAAAATGATCTGCGTGGGCGTTTGATATATCCAGTTGGGTTTAAATCGTTGGCGGGTGCTACCGCTATTCACGTGAAAGTTTTATTGTTTCCCGAAAAGGAAATTATATTTGGTATAAAATAAGCAGTAAAATTCGTTGCATTTTAATAACCCATCGTTCATTTCTTATACCATGAGCTATCGTCGCAAGAAAGATTCTGCAAGAGGAAATCGTGGTAGCGGTAGTGATGCTTCTCAACGTCCTATTGGTAATAACAGAGATCAAGTAGTTCGCAACCCATTAGATATAGAAAGAGAAAATGTTCGCATTTTATCTGAAAATTTCAATTCATCCGAATTATCGTATAAAGGAAGCGACAAAATTGTATTCATCCCTAATGAAGATAATATGGATACAAATTGGAGACGTTATTTGAAAAAAGAACTCACTAATCAACATCATATCCGCAGATTCCTAAATTCATGTTTGGTTACTGCCTCTAAAGAAACTGAATACAAAGTAGAGGAATTAATTACAAATCTTGGAGGACCTGAAGGTAGACAACGTTTAAGAGAAATTGTCATGTTTCCCATGTCTGTTGATGCCGGATTACAACCTCGTGTAGCTTCTTTCCAACGCGTTACTTTGCCTTTCCTTGCGTTGTTAACTCGGTCCGGAATAATTGATAGTATTTTGGAAGTCCAAATTAATGCTATATTCTCTATTGTATATCATAATTTGGTGCGTTATATTATCGACTACTGTATTCTTAATTCGTTAAATTATATATTAAAATAAATATTGTTCATTAAAAGGATGATTTCATGCAAGGCAAAGTAATGCCTATGTTGGAAACTTTGGTCCTGAGAAATTCGTTAGCTGATAACAATACGTCTCAAGCGGAATTACTTAGAGACGATCCTAATTCTTTTATACCTACATCGTATGTTATATTTGCTTATTAACCTCGCCAATATATAGTTATTAATGCAAATTTACTATATTTAATAGAATTGGACAATTTTTCTTGGTGCTTGTAAGACTATGTAATTTTATGCTTAGTCGATTAAAAGAAGCTGCGAGCAATGAGACAATGCATAATATTGTACGACGTCTAGAGAATTCAAAAAACGCTTGGCAAATTTCACATCAGATTGACTCCAATGACCCGATTAATTCCAATATTGAAAGAAAAAATTACTTTTTCCATATTTTAGATAAAGAATTCAGAAACATGAGACAACTGATAAATAATTCTCAGAGAAATTATCCAAACGAGCTCAATTCAGTGGATAATGCCTCAAGGTCTTATAAAGAAAGGGCACAAATTGTTGATTTAAAGCGCACTTACGATCCTCCTGGCGAATTGTCTGAACATGGACCACGCCATAATAACGATTTCAGTGATATTACAAAAATTTCCATAATTCCTACCAAGGAAGAAATTTTCAGCGTTAGGCCACCTTTTTTACCTCCGAATATTCCTGGAGCCCCACATTTTCTTCCTGAAGGACCTGCACGCCTTCTTGATTCACAGTTTCGTTTATTCCGTGAAGACATGTTAAGTCCTATTAGGGGAGGAATTACAAATTTCTTACAATTTTTGGCAGAAAAACAGAATAATTCTCAGATAAAAAAATTCCGGGAAGTAGGTGGTAGATACAGATACAACAGTGGTCAAGATAACGGAGATTTATATATTTATCCCAATGTTCGTTTTGCTGGAATTACAGTCGATAAAAGACGTGGATTTTCATGTCGAATCGCATTTACAGGACCAAAAAATGTCGGAAGAACCAAGGGAGATCGTATTGTTTACTGGCAAAGATCAAAGAAATTAATGAATGGAAATTTAGTTTGTCTTCTTTGGCCAACAGAAAATACAGCTTTGGTGAATAATAAAAATAATATTCCTAATGCTACACAATATTCTCTTTTTTTTGGTGTAATTGTGCAAAGAGACGAAAAACTTTTAGCTAAATATGATGATAGAGTCGAAATCGAAATTAATTTCTCGGATGCGACCGTTTATCCATTAGCCTTAAATGACATCTCAAGTCAAAAAAATCAAAATATGGTTAAGACTTCACGCTTTATGGTAGAATCCACAGGAGTTTATTTGGATTCTTATTATCATATTTTGAAAACTATGCAAAGCACAATGAATTCAACTCTTCCTTTTGAAAGGTATTTGGCTCCGACAAATGAAATGGTTGTTAATTCTGTTGTAGATTTACCTGACTACGCAAGAGCCCCCGGATTTCACTTTAATTTAGGTGTATTATTACGAGACAAGCAAAAAGAACTTTTGTTGAATGTTTCTAACACAAATGAACATGAAAATATAATTAAAGTACTTAAAAATGAAAGCATAATAGATTCAAAAGGAAACAAATTAGATGATACACAAGGTATTTTAAATTCGTTTTCATTCAATCTGTTCTTTTATTATTTATTCATTTTCTTTTACCCTTTCCAGCTAGATCCCTTGTTTCTTCATTGTGTAAAGAAATTGCGTTGATTGAAGGTTAATTTTAACAATTCTAAGTTCCGTGTCTCTCACAAGGGATCGACAAAAAATCGTACATAATTTCTTTTTAATTAACTTTTTTGATTAGGTCCACCGGGTACAGGAAAAACCGTTATAGGGGTGGAAATCATGAAGGTTTTGCTAGCGCCAACCAATCGCAATATAAAGCTTGGACCCATTCTAACAATTTGTTTTACAAATCATGCTTTAGATCAATTTCTAGAGGTAAAGAGATAATCGCGTTACTAGGGAGTACAATTATATTTATTAATTAATTAATTAATTAAATTTCTTCCCTTAAAAAAAAGCATTTAATTGATAGAGCCGGAATTGATAACATTGTGAGATTAGGTGGACGTTCGAGATCCGATAAAATTACCCCTTTTAATCTCGAAGAAATAGTTAGAAATCGTGAAAGGCCTGTGGGAATTGAAGCATATTTGTTAGCTCAGGCCTACAAATCGCTTGATGACATTAAAAAAGATGCGGATAAGATTCAAAATAGATTGAGTCAAAGATGGTTAACTTGGAACGAAATTTCTCCTTATTTATCATTTGAATTTGCTGAACACTATAGCAAATTTTCCTATTATCATGATGATCCCGAAGTACCGAAGTTTTTGTTAGATAACGATAACGATAACGATATGGATATTGATGATGAATCTTCATGGAAAACTGCTGGCAGTGCTTCAAGGAATAAACCGGTGTTTGAACAGTGGTTAGAAGGAATGGACATAAAACGAGCCAAATCCATGATTCAAACAATGAAAAACCAAAACAAACGACAACTTAAAGGAAAAGAAAAACAAAGATCAAATTTGAATAGCTATGGTATTTTTGATAATAGCGATGAATTTTATTACGAATTTGATGTTGATGATGAATATGTTGAGCCAATTTATGATTCAATGCAAAGCTTTCTGTTGAATTGGTCAGAACCTACAACAAATCGTCCTTTAGAGGAACTAAAGGACGATACGAATATTTGGAATATGTCCGAAACCGAACGAATTACATTGCATGACTTTTGGCGACAGGAATTCAATTTGGAATGTATTGAAGATTTAGCGCGGTTACAAAAAACTCATGATGAAAAGAGAAAAGAAGTCGAAAATGTTCAAAATGAAAGGCGAAAAAAAATTTTAAAAGAATGTGATGTTATTGGAATGACTACACATGGAACTGCGAAATTTCAATCTCTTATTCGTTCTATTGGACCTAAAGTTATTTTATGTGAAGAGGCCGGAGAAGTTCTAGAAGCTCATATTCTTTCAGCGCTTACACCATCAACACAACATCTTATCCTCATTGGTGGTATGTGTACTTTTTATTTACTTTTTCGAAAATTTACGTTTGGAATAAAAAATTTTTTTAATAGATCATAAGCAATTACGACCACACGTTGCTACCTATAACTTAAGTTGTGAATCAAGCAATGGTAAAAAATATAGATTAGATGAAAGTCTATTTGAACGTTTAGTTAAAGGTAACAAAGCTACACGGCTTGAGCAATCTCAATTATTGACTCAAAGACGTATGAGAGGCGAAATTTCTAATTTAATTAGATCCACCATATATCCGAAACTTATTGATGGAGAAAACACTACTTATCCAAATGTTCGTGGTGCTCAGCATAATGTGTATTTTATTAATCATCGTCACTCTGAAGATAAAACAAAAAGTGAATTTGCAATTCAATCGCATTCTAATCAACATGAAGTGAATATGATTATTGAAATGGTGAGATATTTCGTTAGAAATGGATACACTAAAGAAGATGATATTGCTGTCCTTACACCATATCTTGGACAAATGATGAAACTTCGTGACGCTTTAAAAGCAACATTTACTGTTGTTATTGATGAGAGAGATAGTCAAGATCTTGCAGAAATGGAAGATGATGACGATGAAGAAAGCCCAGAAAGTAATGTTGTAGGCAATATCAGTATCGCAACAAAAAAATCATTAAATCAACAAGTATGCACAAAAAAAAAAAAATTTTATTAATTCAATTTCAACAATTTTATAAGAATATTGTTTAAACTATTATTTTTATTAGGTTATACTGAGAACCGTTGATAATTTTCAAGGCGAGGAAGCCAATATAGTTATCATTTCACTTGTGAGGAACTCTTTAAATGAATCAAATAAAGGTTCAATTGGTTTCTTGAAGTCAGAAAATCGTACTAATGTTTTACTTTCACGAGCGAAACATGGAATGTATTTGCTCGGTAATGCTGAGTTAATGGCCAACGGATCTCCTATGTGGTCATCAGTGGTTCAAATGTTAAAATCCAGTGATCCTCCAAAAGTTGGTGGTTCTTTTCCTATCGTCTGTCCTCAACATCCTAAGAATAGAAATTACGTGAGTGAACCCATACAATTCTCTGAATTTGCACCAGATGGAGGATGTTTGGAGAGGTATGAAGTTTTTTTATCAAATAAATTATTTTTATCCGGACACATTTACTTACTTTATCATTTTCTAAATTAAAGTTGTGGGGAAAAACTTGAATGTGGACACTTATGTATGTATTTGTCACATAGAAGTGCAATAAGTTCCAACTTGTTTTATACTAATGATTTATTTAAATCCAAAATATAATTTAGGTCCTTATAAATGTCACTTTGATAACCCAGACCATATTAATATATTTTGCAGAAAGGAATGTATTAAATTACATCCAGAATGTTTACATCCTTGTAGCAAGTTTTGCGGCGAAAAATGTGGTTTGTATATGCTCAATTTTATATTTCAATTCGATTACAAGTAAGTTCTCAAAAGAATTTCTAATGATTCATTATTTCTTTAGGTGATTGTTCTTTGGTCATTGGTGATATAATGTTGCCTTCTTGTGGTCATTTGTATCCAAGAGCTAAGTGTTATGAAACTCGCAACGTTGATTCAATACTTTGTCACATAAAAGTATCTAAAACATTACCTAATTGTGGACATAAGCTTGAAGTAATGGTATGAAAATTTTAAAAAAAATTTATTAGTAATTTTTTAGTTTGACAGATCTGTTAACAAGCTCTTTTTTGCGATAATAAAGTGTTATGAATCAGTAGATGATATTGTCTGTAAACAACCATGTGGAGAATTAACCAAATGTGAACATATGTAAGACATTTTTCAAGATATTTAAAAAAATTTCCTCAAAAAATTTTTTATTAAACAAAACCTCATTAATAAATTAGTTGTTCAGCACCATGTCATGAATGCCAGAAGCGTTCAATTAAAGCAAACAATGATGAACCACCTTTAGATGAGAATGGATTCATAATAAGGAATACACATGGATCATGTGCAAAACCTTGTGAAAGAAACTTATTTTGCGGCCACAAATGTGAAGAAGTCTGCCATGAAGGAAGAATATGTAAACCTTGTAAAGCAAAGTGTACAGTTTCTTGTTCTCACTCTTCATGTAAATTGGAGTGTTTTAAACCTTGTGCTGCTTGTGCTGAACCATGTGATTGGTGTTGTCCCCATGGAAGATGTCTTCTATCTTGTGGTATGTATTTATTATCATCATTTGTTGAATTATATTCTTAACTTAAATATTTACTGTTGCAGGTGCTCCATGTTCAAGATTACCATGTAATTTAAGATGTGAAAAAAACTTGGTGTGTGGACACCGTTGTCCAGGAATATGTGGTGAACATTGTCCATCACCGAAGTTTTGTGAAATTTGTGCTCCGAAGGATGTTAAAGATCAAAGTTTGTGTATTAAGATTTAACTCGTCTCAATTTGCTTCATAAAACCTTATAATTCTTTTCAATATATAGTGATCGACTTTATTGAACTTCAGTCATTTGCCGAAATTGATTGGGGTAAAGAAAGAATGGTGATCCTGGATTGTGGTCACATATTTACGATGGATACTATGGACCGTCATATGGAAATGATGAATTATTATGAGGGAAGTTATGAAAGATGGACGGGTTTTAAAATTCTTTCATCGCAAAGTGGAGAAAATAAAATGATGACGTGTCCCAACTGCCGAGGTGAATACTCGAGTAATTTTATGTATATATATTCTTCATATAATTTATATTTATTTATTTTTTTTCTATTTCTTTTTAAAATTAGCGCCCATTAAAAACATTAAAAGATATGGAAGATCTATTAAAAAACGAATTCTTGATACTCAGAACAAAAAATTTTTAATGGTGTATGACCTCCGTTTAAAATTTCAAAGAAATGCGTTGGAAGCTGCTATAAGAAATTTGGACAATAACAGACCGAATATGTTAGAAAGATTTAAAAGTATTCGATTATATTCGACAGATAATAGCAAGAAGAACAATATTGAGGGTCCAGATAAAATTGTCCCCGAAGTTACCATTAAAGAACAATTTTATCAAATTGGAAAGTACCATTCTATTCCAGAACAACAAACAAAGCTATGGCAAAATCATATTAAAGATCTCTATAAATCATATAATCAATTGACAATGATTATGGCACATACAAAAAACCCACCTCACAAAAAGGCATTTGATGCAGCTTTGACACGTCTGTAAGTAATATAAGTTTTTATAATTGTTTACATGCTTCCATTTTTTTAACAAAAAAAAAAAAAAAAAATTTTTTTTGTTTATCAATAATAGTTACAATGAAAAATCAAAGGTTCCAATCGATGTGTTCAATTTTGAAAATATTAACATCGCAGATGACTCAGTCCGCTTTGAGCAAAGTCTTCGAGAAGTGGGTTTGATTGCACCACAATTAGACCGCCGTGTTTACATTGACGCTTTCTTTGAAATTGTTAACGCTCAAAAAATTATGTTTCACGAAGTAGTTCGAATAATTTCAGAATTACCGAATACAGAAGTGCCTCATTCAGAAGAAAGACAAGGTTATATTTCAGTATTAGCAACACGAAAAAATTGGATCGGGTTTTGTGGCAGAATAATTGATTCAATTACAAACCATTTGGAAAAAATTTTTCAAACATGTGAAGAAAGTAAATATGGACGGCATCTAGTGCAAGCTTCATTAGAATTGGTGGAATTTGAATACCAAGTTGGTAGATTTAATTTAAACAATCGAATGAACCCCCAAATTTCTATATCCGAGCCAATTAAAAGGGAAATTATAGAGAAATGTAATAAAATCCGCAAAGATTGTAAAAAAATACAACGGGATTATTTGCAAAAAATTAATTTAGAATATTTTCAAGGACAATGCGAAGCGAGGATTGTTAAGTTATTGAATGATGTAAATGAATTACAAGAGAAAGCAGAAAATTATGGACAATTAACTCGAGAAGAAAAAGTGTCAATCTACAGAGCAATGAGCAGCGAGTTTAGTGGGTCAGGTAAATTAACATCTGAGATATTTAATTATCTGATCGCTTTTTCTTAAAATAGGTTTATCAATTTATAGGGCACTGGTACGAATGTCCAAATGGTCATCCGTATACTATTGGTGAATGTGGAGGAGCAATGCAAGCTAGCAGGTAAAGCTTATATTTTTATTTATTGATTTATTTATTATATTTATTTATTGATTTAAAAAAATAGATGTCCTGATTGTGGAGCAGCGGTTGGTGGAGGTAGCCATAGTTTAACTAGTGGAAACAGACGTAATGTCGAATTTGACACAATGGGTGGAACAATTTAGAATCCTTCACGATGACGTTTATTTATAACATTGAGTTTTTTTTTTTTTTTTTTTTGTATTAGTAGATTTTATATAGCTTTCTTGTAAACTTGAGTTGAATATTGTGTTTTGGATCAAAATAAATAAATTAATATAACTTGCGAATTTTAATCAAACAATTTATTCATAAACAAAAATCAACATAATACATAATACCCAATTATTTGAAAATATTGAATCATAAATCAGAACTGGAGACATTTATTTTTAATTTATTAATAAAATTATAATGAATCTCGATATTTCGATTCAATAATTATAGGAGAAAAGAATTTTTATAAAATAAGAACATTGATTCGGAGCTGCTAGCAAAGGGCACACTTCAAACGTTCTCGGTTGCATATTTACAAGTAATTATGATAATCTAAATTAGGAGCTCACATTGAGTGGATCTAGCGTCACCCGCAAAGACGTTTCACAAACAAATAAATTAGAAGATATTATTCAAATAATGTACAAATAAAAAAAGAATATTAATTAAATTACGCGACGATCATAAAAATTAAAGATGTGGCAACAACAGCTAAACTTAACATAACACCCCATAAGCCATGGCTATTAAAATTTTGTAACATGGTTGAATCCGAAACGATATTATTTGGATCCTCAACCGCAGGTGCAGTGACAGCGACTTTTTTCACCACAACTACGGTAGATGGAGGGATGTATGTTGCGAAAGTTGTAATTTCTCCTTTATCATTTTTTGTTGTGATTGTTGTTGTATAGCCGGCAAAAAATAATGTAACCGTTGTTGTGATCGTTGTCCAGCTAGTTGTTTTATCCTTATGATCTTTATCATCATTATTATTATTATTATCATGTGGTTTTGGAGTTGGAGTAATCGTTTTAACTTCTTCTTGTATAGCTGTTTCAGTTTTTGGAGTACTACGATTGCAAAATTTCGTAAATTAATTTTTTAGAATGATTTGATGTTAATCATAATAAATATATACTTACACTCCTGGTAGAGGTTTGCATCCAGGATCATTAGGAGAACCACCAGTTGCAGTTGGTTCAATTGTTTTAGTATCAATTGTCTTTTTATATTCGTCGGGTTCTTTTCCATCTTTTGGTTGACCATCACCGTTGTTTGGCAGTTGACCATCACCGTTATTTGGAGGTTGTCCATTTCCATTGTTTGGCGGTTGACTATCACCGTTATTTGGAGGTTGTCCATTTCCATTGTTTGGCGGTTGACCATCTCCGTTGTTTGGAAGTTGTCCATTTCCATTGTTTGGCGGTTGACCATCTCCGTTGTTTGGAGGTTGTCCATTTCCATTGTTTGGCAGTTGTCCATCACTGTTATTTGGAGGTTGTCCATTTCCATTGTTTGGCGGTTGTCCATCTCTGTTGTTTGGAGGTTGTCCGTTTCCATTGTTTGGCGGTTGTCCATCACCGTTATTTGGAGGTTGTCCATTTCCATTGTTTGGCGGTTGATCATCACCGTTATTTAGAGGTTGTCCATTTCCATTGTTTGGCGGTTGTCCGTCACCATTGTTTGGAGGTTGTCCATTTTCATTGTTTGGCAGTTGTCCATCTCCGTTGTTTAGAGGTTGTCCATTTCCATTGTTTGGTGGTTGTCCATCTCCGTTATTTGGTGGTTGTCCATTTCCATTGTTTGGTGGTTGTCCATCACCGTTATTTGGCGCATCTTTTTTCGGTTCTTCTTTTGGCTGATCATTTTTTGGTTCCTCCTTTGGTTGATCATTTTTTGGTTCCTCTTTTGGTTGATCATTTTTCGGTTGATCGTTTTTTAGTTCTTCTTTTGGTGGTCCACCACCACCACTACCACCACTACCTCCTCCTCCTCCGCCATCACCTTGTCTTTTCCGAAAAGTACTACCAATTTGACTATTTAATTCATAAGTTGGAGAGGCAAAATTGACAGCAATAAATATAGCAAGTACTAGAATAAATATAAGAGAGTATTTATACTTAGGAACAACGTAAGGTATATAAGGCATGATGAAAATTTTTGTGAATTATTTCAGAATTAAAAAAAGTTTTCGGCTTATTTATATTGGAAAATTAAGATGATACAAAGGAGAATTGTTACATACATCAAAATAAAGTTAGTTATCTTTTATATCCTAAACATAGAAAGGTTTACTCTACAAACAAATATGTTACAACAAATGATATAAAAAAAAAACATTGTAAAATTTCTCCTTGTTAAATGCATTAAATATTTATAAAAAATATTAATAAGTTCTTTTGTAATTAAAAGTATTTACTTTTAGACTTTTTTTAATCATTTAATTTAAAATAATGACCCGAAAAGGAATCTTATGTATTCTGGTTGGCTCGCTTCTACCTCTTTTTAATATTTCTTTTTTTTTGATTTCCCTTCATGGTAATTATGCTTTGTCACAAAATGCTAAAAATACTTTGCATAATGTAACTTTTAAAGCCACATCACTATTTCTCAATGTGTCATTCTTATTTTAGAATGATAATATTTTTTGATCGATAATTATTTTAGATATTTTGAATAATTATGTACAGTATATGCGTATATGCAATATTTTTTTTTTAATTAGAATAAAATAGTAGTTTTTATTATTGTCTTTATAATACTATTGTAAAAAAAACTATTGCATATGATTAATGATTATGAGATAATTATCATGCTTTCGCATCAGGTGTGTGATATTGCTTAATATTGCTTAAAAAGGTAATGGATAAAATATACTAAATAATTTTAAATGATAATTCGTACTACTAGTGATGTAAATGGATGAAACGTTCATGCCGCAAAATTTGCCTATACGCGCAAAGTTTGCCCTGTAATACATCGTACTAATGTAAAGATGCGTCAATACGGTTTAATTGGAAGATTTCTTTTCAAAAATACGATTGTTTTGTAATAAGAAACTTAAAAGAAAACTTCATTTGAATGTTTCTTATTTATATCATAAAATTTTAAGAAAATTCTTAATATATCATAAAATAATAAATTTTATTTTTATTTTATTTATAATTAAATGTGAATTTGCTATTATACAAATTAAAAATGAATAATTTCCAACTGTTAGAATTGTATACGATTGAATTTTATTATTCAAAATTTAGTATAATATAATAATTAATTAACATAAATTATACTAAATGTTTATTACAAAATACAGTCGACCCTCTCTATAGTCACCCATATATAGTCACATCCCCCTTTATAAGCATACTTACATTGGCCCAAGTTACTAATAAACTTATTAAAAAAAAACCTCTTAGTCACATCATATAGTATTTTTATAATCAGTTCATTTTTTAATGGTAACTATATAGGGATTGACAGTAAAGATGCTGAATTCATTATAAAGAATATTAATATTTATTGATTTATTATTTAAATTATTTAAATAAATTTTTAAAAATACTTGAAGAATATAAATTTTAATTAGGTGTTTACATACATTTTATATTATTTATTTATTTTTAACTAAAAAATTGTTTAAAATTATTTTATTTCTTTTAATAAACTAATAAGCTTATTATAAAAAAAAAAAATCAAAAGTAGTTTAAAATATATATAATCAAAGAAAATAAATAATTATAAAAAAAAATTTTTTTTATTAATATTAACTAAAAGTATATTTTTTTTCAATATAAATTTTCTTACAAATTCTTTATTAATTAAAGTTAATTTTAAAAATTATCTATTAAAAAAATAATTTTTATAATAAAATATAAAAAAATACAAATTAATATGTATTAATTAAATTTAAAAAAATTTTTAATATTTTTGATAAAAATACTTTATAAAACCTAAAATTTAATATTTTTACTTTTGTTTTATATTATTGAAAATTTTTTAAATATTATATATTTATAAAAAAAAAATATTAAAATTTAATTATTTTAATTATTTTATAATAAATTTTATAATATATTTAACTAAAAATTAATTAAATAAAAATTTTAAAAATAAAAATAAATAAATATAGAAATATAAATAGTGCTCTAAAACCAGTTTTCAGTTTTTAATTTTAATTTATTTTATTTAGAAATCAGTTTTAAAAAAATTTTAAAAATCTGATAATTAGTTTTCAATATAAAATCAGTTTTAAAATTCAAATCAGTTTATAATTTAAACTGTTTATATATAAAATTAATTTAAAGGTTTAATTTTTAAATTTAAATATTTATTTAAAATAAAAAAGTATATTATAATATATTTAAATGTTAAAATTTGTGAATCATAATATAATGTAAAGTAAATCAATTTATTAATATATCATTTTATTTTTTGTAATAAATTAATAATAAACATAAAAGAGAAAACTCAAGTATTATTTGAAACTATTATTTTGAGAAGTATGTTAAAGAGAAAATCAGTTATATCTTATTTATCAAGTGTGTAAAAATAAAAATATTATAAAATATTATAAGTAGACAAAAGGTGCTTTAACTACTACTGTTTAAAGATATCTTTGGTGAGATTATAGAATTATAAAAATTATCTAGAAAAACTAATAAATACAGATAGTAATATTAAAATAAAAATAAAATATATAATGGCTTATAAAAGAAATGTAAAACAGTAATACAAAGTTTTGTAAATCATTTTATATCATATAATCGTATTATATAATAATATATATTTTTTTTAAAGCTATGAATCAGAGCTATTCTTTAAAAAATTTGAATACTGCCCTATAATAAATTACCAGATTTTATAAATTTTACTTAGTAATATATAGTAAAATTAAAAATTTTCAGATTATATAAAAGTTTAAATTTTTTAATAAAATACACATTAGATATTTTATTTAATAGCCAATCAATTATAATTTTAAAAATATAATTCAAAAATATTTTATTTATAAAATATGGAAAAATACTTATTTGTAAAGTAATAAATAAAATAATTTTATATATAAAAATACAAAAAACATATAAAAAAATAGTTGCTTATACTTCAAAATGAAAAAAGTTTATGTTTTAAAAAATTTTTTTTTTATTTTAATATCTATAAATTATAATTAATCAGCTATCAAATAAAAAAAAAATCAGATAATTTTTATTGAAAATTAATAAACATTTATGTAACTTAAAGATCTTTAATTTTACTATAATAATTATTTATTTATTATATTTTTAATTATTTATAAATTAAACAATTTTATTTAATAATTTATTTTAATTTTTTTTATTGAATAACACTTTTTACTTACTAAAAATAAAAGATAAGTAATTTTTTTATTTTATTTTATTTTATTTTTTTAATATTAGTTAATTTCTAATACAATTTTTTTATATTAAAATTTGATAAAATCTGACAAAAATTCAATAAAATCCAATTAAATCTAACTATCCGTTTTTATAAATATAAAAAATTAAATAATAAAAATATTTTTATATTTATTATCTACTATATTATATATTCATCTTTTTATAAAAATAAATCATTGATTTATTTTAATATAGTTTTAATTAATTTAGTATAGATTTTAAGTTCAATATTATTTGAAATTTATTCCAAAAATTATTTTTATTTTTTATATACTTGTAACTATTTCATAAATATTAATTAACCTCGATTTATATATTTTCAATAAGATTAAGGTCTGGAATTGAGCTGGCTATTCAAGAACAGCTATATTATTATTTACAAACTATTTTTTTGTTATTTTTACTGTATGTTTAAGATCATTATTTTGCTAAAAGATAATGTTATTAAATCTATATTATAATAATTAAGTGTTTGAAGAAAATCATTTAAAATTTGAATATATAATTTTATATCTAACCTACTATTGATATAACATAAATATCCTATTTCTTGAGCTATAAAATAACTTTATACAAAAATACTACTATAGTTATACCTCTATATAATCATCCCTATATAAGCACAACCTCTGTATATTCACACTTTTATTGCGTCCAAACCTTTAATTAAGAAAATTACCTTTATATAATCATGATCATATTGTAATCACTATCACACTGATAATATGCGCCTAACCTTCTTTTAGTAAAGTAAATAAAACCTTTGTATAGTCACATCACGTGATTCTAATAGAGAGAAGATCTGTGGACTGATAATCAAGATTCCATTTTGATTGCATAATGATCTGTGCGACACACAAAGTTTTCTCAAGGTTTTTTCAGCTCATTCATAATAATGGTTTGAATGAAAAATACTTCAGAAAAGTAAGTTCTTCTTTTTTTTAATGTCTTACTTTAAGGGATATATATTGATATATATTAACTCTATTTTTTATTTTTATAAGTTTTAATTTCTCTAAAATGGTATTTCAAATAGGTATATTAGTTTTTATTGGTTTGGTTTTGAAATTTACTTTAAAAAATGTATTAACGTCTTTTTTTTTTTGTAGGTTTTGGTTTTTTTGAGATGGCATTTTAAACAGGTATGTTAGTTTTTTTGGTCTGAGTTTTGAAATTGACTTTAAGAAACGTATTAATATTTCTTTTTTTTATTTTTATAGGTTTTGGTTTCTCTCAGACAGCATTTCAAATGGGTACGTTGATTTATTTGGTCTGGACTTCGAATGGACTTTTGGACCAGTATGTTAGTTTTCTTGAAAGAAATTTTATTTTAGAATTAGCTTTAAGAAATATACTAACACATTTTTTATAGGTTTCAGACTTTATAGAAGAGATTTTGAACTGGTATGTTAGTTTCTTTAGGGAGTGTTTGGATTAGCTTTAAGAAACGTATTAATGTTTTTTTAATTAGGTTTAGCTTCTTGGTATGTTAACATAAATACAATAAAAGATCAGGAATTATGACATGAGATATC